AGATGATTGAGATGTTGATATTACATTCATGAAGAGTCGCATACATTGCATTTTTGAGATGGAGCTTATGCTCGTTGAGATGGCCTGGATTGGCAAATTTTGAGATGAAGGCTATGCCTTGTTGATGCCTCTATTAATTGGCAGATTTTTGAGATGGGAGTTCTGCTCCAATGGTACCACATGCATTTGCATAGTTTTGAGTCGCATTATATGATTAAATAATGAAGTGTATTTGATGTTGATGAATGAGTATATATGCTGTAATTATTGTTGATTATGTGATGAGACGTGGTGATATTATTGACCTAATTTAATATATTAATTATCATACACTTTATTATATTGTTAGATATCTCACCCCTTCTGTTTGAATGTTGCCCTTATGTTGGTAACGTGCAGGTAATTGAGAGTGAAGACCGTATACCTTCAATAGATCGAGTCGGTGTCATTGCTCTGATATGTAACACTCGGGGGGATGAACGCTTGCTGATTTTTTATTGTTGATTTTCAGTTGTTGAATTTTAAATTGAATTATTATTAATTACGAGATGTTTCGAAATTGCTGTTTTATTTAAAGATGTTATTGAAGAATTCCGCTGCGTAGTTGTTGAATTATTTAATGAAAGATGTTATGATGATGGCTCATCTGATGTTTTGAAAAAGTGTTATATATCCATGATGAATGCAATGAATTTGTTAGAAGAATTTGTGACGTTCCAATTCATTTGTATGATTGAATTTTATAACTCTGATTTAAATTGCATAAATTGCTTGGGGTAAAATTGGGGTGTTACAGTGCTCATCTGGTTGCCCAAAAGAAAATTACTCGCACTATGAAGTTGGATGGCTTAGGGGTACAATCAAGTAGAGATGCCAATACAGTCCTTCTCAATAAGCTGGTTAGGCACATGATTCAAAATAGTGATAAACTTTGGGTACATCTTCTTTCTCAAAAGTATTTGTCAGGTTCCCATTTACGTTATATTTCTTCTACAACTTGTTCCTCCATATGGAACTCTATTATAAAAGCAAGGAATGTGTTACAAGATGATTTTTAATGGAGATCAGGATCAAGATCCTCAACTTTTTGGTGTAGTCATTAGTCTTCTCTTGGCCCCTTGGCTTCTCTGGTTGATTATGTTCACATATATGACACTGTTTTAACTCTCAAAGATTTTTACTCTACATCACTTCCCCATATTCAACATTTGTATAATCAACTCCCTCCTCACATTACCACTCATATCACCTCTAAAAGTCTCATCTTCAACCACAAAACAATAGACATATTCATTTGGTTATATAACATAAACAATACTTACATTACTAAGATTGACTACTCTTGAATCCTCTACAACAAAAAAGAGTTTCATGATTCTATCAACGCCACTTGATCATGAAATTGAATCAAGAAATTATGTCTCCTAGAAAAGATAACATTCCTCTTTTGGCTTGCTCATCACAAATCTAATACCCTTTTCTCTATTCTTAACCATTGAAATATAGCCCTCTCAACTTTGCACTCTATATGTGGCCTTGAAGAAGAGACTTTCCTCCATTATGTTTGTGATTGTATAAATTCTAGAAATTTTTTGTTTCACCTTGGGTTTAGTCATCCAGAGTTCTTCTCAAGCCAATAGGGCCATTCTTGGATAAAAAGCGAGATACAAGATATCTGTCATAACCTCTTTGATTCGAAAATTTGGTGGGATTGGAGAAATAGTAATGATGTTTGTATTTCTCATGAAATTATTCCGAAGTGTAGACTATCCTTGGTGGCCACCCTATGACAAATTATTTTATCATTTGAGTCAGCAAACCTCAAACAAGGTACACGTACAATCACTTCATCACTTGGAGTACCCAAAATTACTCTTGCACTAATATTAGTGTAGATGGATGTTTTAATGGTATTCCAACTCGTACGAGCTTTGGCGGTTGTAACACCCTTCTAACCCCACATGTATTTCGCGAATAATTTATTAATAATTCAATTAAATAACCAAACAAGAGTGTCACATTGTCATAATAAAACATCATAACATACAATCTTACTCCGTAACACGGGTTACAACAACGGTAATAACAACTTCTTATATTATACATATTTACAGTGTTTCATGTGACATTAATACATCTTTTAAGAACAACGCAGAAAAAATCATCAATCATAATAATCTCAATTATCAACTCATCATATTTAGTCTCATAAAAATAGAGATTTAAAATTAGTTCAATAATCAAAACCTTCATAAAGTATGTTAATATAAAAGGAACATAACATTAAAAAAAATAAGTGTTTCCAACCCGGTGTTACATATTAGAGCAAGACACCTTCTAATTAACGAAAAACTAAATAAAAATACTCCAAGCTCTATCCTCGATACTTCAACAAGCTACTCCTGAGTATCTGTGTGTTACCCACGTGGAGGAAACATTCAAATAGAAAGAGTGAGTAATCATGATTCATTATAAAAGATATAAGGAAAAGATTAGTAGTTATATAAAACATCATCATACAATCAATACACATCATTCATCAACAATTCATACTCATCGATACATCACAATAGCACGTAAACATCCTTCATCATCAATTCATCATATATTCAGAGTACACAGTTATTATCACATCATAACTCATCAATATAGTTCATGCAATGTCACATAGAATGCTAATGCAACAATACTGACACAATGTATGTGGTGCCAAATTTTACTAGCACCTGACTCATCACCCTCCATAGATCCCCACCACATGATTGATTCCCTCTTGGAACTGGAGCACAACATAAATCACTACTATCATCATAGGTAACGCTTCACTAAATCCTCAATCAAGGACTTAACTACTCACACCCAATCCATACAATGGGATTGGGGCTCAACACAGACAGACCAACGTCCAAAAATGCTAGGAATGCACGGTGCACAACAACGTCACATATCAATTCGACCACGGCTAGTCAAGTGCATCATCATTCACATAATCATCATATAGTCATTCTCCACATAACATGTATACATATTAACATGCACATCATCCAAAATATCATCATAATTATCATCAAATACACACGACAACATCATCATAACAACTTCATAGCAACATCATATTCATCATTAAAATAAATATAACGTCATAGCATAGTAAACATAGAATACACCGATCTCATTATCATATAGGTATTGAAATAATGAATCAATCAACTCATATTCATCTATTATAATACAACTCCGTGCTTCAGCTTCTCAACGCTTCAAATGGCTCGTCGAACAGAGTCCTGAAACTCAAGTTACGACCTTTGAAAGTTACTGCCATATCTGCTCGCCTGATGCTCGCTCGACGAACCTGGTGGCGCTCTCCCCGCCTGATGCTCGCTCGACGAACCTGGTGGCGCTCTCCCCGCCTGATGCTCGCCTGACGAGGTTGGGGAAATGATCCATCCCCCCCACATTTTCCAGGGGCTCTTCTTTTCCATTATTTCCCCTTTTCGCTTGTCTCACCCGATAACGCTTGGGCGACTCGCTCGCCCCTTGCTCGCCCGATAACGCTTGGGCGACTCGCTCGCCCCTTGCTCGCCCGACGACGCGTGCGATTCTACAAATTCCTGTTGCAATTTCACTATTGTTTCAAGTCATTCTAATTGTGATTACAAATATCATACTCATTCCCAAATGCACTATAGACACAATATATCATATATTAACATCAAAACATGTATTGACACATATTAAGATTAAATTATGGCATTCATATATCATGAACATCAACAATACTAACTACTAAATGTTTGTTTTATACATGAGTAAGTATGTGAATGATTGTATATTGATAATTGTTAATTGGTAGGATTATATGTTACTAACTATGTGTTAATTGGGTTCATGCACGACTAAGTCTGTGAATGATTGCATGATTGATTGTATTGTCGGTTTATTTTGGAGCAACTGAATGGATTGTTTTGTACGCATCTAAATGTGATGTTACTGTTGGTGCTTAACTTTGATAATTAGAAGATGGTTGATGTTGCTGATTGTATGCTCTGATAGTCCAGTGCTTCAACTAATTGTCACCTGTTTTAGTTTAAATGAGTGTTATATCTTAAATAGTTATCTTGTCACAATTTGTCAAAGGGGGAGATTGTAGTTACTTTTAGATTGACCTTTTGGATTAGCTGTAATTTACAAAACAACAATATGAAGAAGTGTTCAAAGTGTTAAGGATTATTCTAGCTTGTTTAAATTATATGAAGGTGCAATAAAAGACAATGTTATTATCATTACGGTAATATTATTACTCATAAAATAATAATTTTACTTTTTCGAAAATACTATATTTAGAATCACCCACACTCTTAAAGAAGATAATTAAAATATTAATTTCATGGCAAATCTCAAAACATTTGCTGACATTGATCTTTTGATTCATACATTCCCTTCTCAAAAATTGAGTGATATAAAGAAGCGACTGTAATTTTATTTTTAAAAATTTAGTTTTTCTTTTTTATTCCTTTTCTATTGCTTTAATTTTATAAAGAAAATAGAGTAACATTTAACATTGTAATCTTAAATTTGAAAAGAAAAACATAATTGACTTTCATTATTCATTTAAGAGAATAAATTACTAACTTTCAAATTTATAAATTTATTTACGAAACGAAATTGACCCAACATTAAAATTTCCATGATAGTCAACAATGTCTAAAAAAGATTTATTCATTTTTTAATAAAAAATAAAAAAATAAATTTATGAGGAAGATTCCAGAAAAAAGGACCGAAGGGGCGTTTTCAAAAAAGTAAAACATAAACAACAGAGGAGAGACCACCCAACTCAAATCCGTGGGTACTCTGTTCAATTTTTCGTAAAAAAAAAAAAAGAAAAAAAACTAATTATTTAAGAAAAAACAAAACCAAACACGTTTTCTTTAATTTTACATTACCAAACCCAACATTCATTCTTAATTCTTGTTCCGATTCTTGTCAATTTCTTCAACATCATGCTAAATCCTCGTTTGGTTCCATTGTTACTCTTTTTCTTTTTCCCCTGTTTTTTCGTTTCTTCAATTCGATTACCCGGTTTGGATGAAGATAAGCCCACGTAATGATAACTCATACCCATTTCTTCATTTTTGTTCTTCTATTTGAAAATGTGGAAAAAATCTTATCTTTTTTGTTTGGGGGTTTTTTGATTTTGTTCAACTGTTTTCAGGGTTGGATCGGTTTTTGGAGGCTCTAAGGTGAAGTTTGATCCTACACGTGTTACTCAGCTCTCGTGGAATCCCAGGTACTTCCATTTTCTTCTGTTCTACAAAAGGTTTTTTTATTTTATTTTATTTTATTTTTGTAAGAAGTTTTTTGTGAATTATGTTGTGTAGGGCTTTTTTGTACAAGAATTTTTTATCTGATGAAGAATGTGATCATCTTAAAACTCTGGTTAGTTTTTGTTGTTGTTGTTGTTGTTGTTGTTGTTGTTGTTGCTGTTGTTAGTTTCTTAATCATCATTGGTTTTGGATTTAATTCCTTGTATGTGTGTGTGTTTTGGAATGTAATGCAATGTAATTGACAGTATATATTGTGTTCATGTTGAGGGTAGTTGGAAAATCGGTTTAGAATTTAGAAGCTGGTTTGATAGGGTTGACTTACATGGCTATCGTGCCATACTCGTGTCGCGCTCCTGATGTTCAGTCGTGGGTGTGAGAAGATATGTTGAGAATTTTACAGTGTTATCGATGGTGGAATGTGGCGGAAGGCTAAAAATTTGTGATATAAACACGCCATTGCATCATGTGGTGCAGCAATGGAGGACATTCTTTCACGAATTTCTTATGGCGGTCGTCCTATAAACCTCTTCCTCGTTCTCCCAAAGCTGCCATTTAATGACATTGGTCACATGTTGACTGAAAATATGTTTATAAATCGGATGCATATCTCGCCTTATAAACCTGTTTTGTAGGGTTGAATTAGACTTAACTATCAGGCCACTCGGGTCTTGGCGTGGTGATGGGTTGTGTTGAGAGTTTGACATTGTAGGGTTGAGTTAGGTCTATTCTAAATTCTAAGATTCTTCGTCTGAATTTTTGTGATGACAGGCTAAGGATAAGCTGGAGAAATCTATGGTGGCGGATAATGTATCTGGTAAAAGTATACAGAGTGAAGTCCGAACAAGTTCTGGGATGTTTCTCAGGAAGGCACAGGTATAGTAAGAGATCATTTATTTTCTTTCCATGTCAAAACTCAGGTTCTTCGTGTGATTATCTTATCTAGCTTGCATACAATGAAGTACGGTCGACAAGTTTTTGTTTTCTTTTTTTTTTTTGTCGTGATTTATTTTATCGCATCGCTCTTGTTGTATGGATAACAATGCATTTTGATTTTGCTTGATAACGATTGACGAGAAATGTGCTATAAAGTAGTTTGGTGTTTCAATGTTTTTGTGCAAATTCATGACCCTTTCATTTCACAATAACCCTTTCTCTACAAATTCTTATGACGAAGTAACCGTGTTTTTATGATACTGAGTTTTTCTTTTGAGATGTTTGTTTTATTTGTCGTTTAATTTATATGTTTAATTTATATGTTTATTTCCTCTTTCTTTTCTTTAATCTTAAGGATGAAGTAGTTGCCAATATCGAAGAGCGAATCGCCGCATGGACATTCTTTCCCATAGGTAAGTAGACAACATCGTTCTTCAGTCCATTTTAAGATTTTTTCGTTTCGCTGCAGTTTTATGAACTTGCTCTTATGCATCAGAGAACGGCGAGTCTATACAAATATTGCACTACCAAAACGGCGAGAAATACGAACCACATTTCGATTTCTTCCACGACAAGGCTAATCAACTACACGGTGGCCATCGTGTTGCGACCGTGCTAATGTATTTGTCTAATGTTGAGAAGGGTGGAGAAACAGTTTTTCCTTACGCCGAGGTAAAGATTTTCTCATGTTTTTGATTGTCTAACACAAGAAAGAAAGTAAAATCGTGATAAATGAGTAATTGGTTGGATTTTCAGGGGAAGTTGTTGCAGCCGAAAGATGATAGCTGGTCTGAATGTGCTCACAAAGGATATGCAGGTATACATTTCAGAATGGTTTCATATAAATCTCTCGCTTCCATATACGCAAAGCTGGTTTGAATTAGCTTATTTGAGCTGACGTAAATTCTTCTGAAACTTTTTTGAGAGAGCTTATAGAAACAACTTGTGACATGGTCCTAAGTGTATGTTTGGTTTCACGGTTGGATCGCCCGTCCAGAATTGATTCTAGACCTGTAAAATTGATTTTGACATGTTTGGTTGCTCTCGAGTAGAATTCATTATGCTTTCCACAATTGATTCTACTTGAAGTTAGGTTTTGTATTTTGAGTCTAAACGTGGTTTTTTCATTGAGATATATTGCTCAACTCAGTTTTTCAAGAATTTATCCAAACATAAATCACTTTCCATTCAATTCATTTTTAGTCTGAATCAATTTTACAGAATTAATTCAGTCAAAATCAATTTTCTTCACCGCAGAACCAAACACTCACTAAGTTGTTTTCAGCTTATTTTCTTATGATATTTAAGATTGCTTATGAAAACACTTTATAGTTTATATGAAACAATTTGACTTTTTCTTTTATACTATAAGCACTTAATTAAGTTGTTTGTGGAAACATGACCTGCATTTGCATAACCAACATAAATAAGTACTAATTCAATAAGCTATTCTACAGAGCTTACTTGAGCATTTTCTATAAGCTATTCTAGGACTATATAAAATCAAACAAAGCAACTTATGATCATGTTATAAGTTATTTTTATAACTGTATTCAGACGCAAATTTTAAATGTTTATAAGCTTCGAAATATACGCTCTCATAATCTATCAGAAAGCTTTTCTGCCTATTTTTTTGGCACAAGATCTTAATTCTAACGCATTCGGTTTCTGTCATTTCAGTAAAACCGCGGAAGGGTGACGCCTTATTGTTCTTCAGTCTTCATCTGAACGCAACTACAGATGGTAATAGTTTGCATGGAAGTTGTCCAGTGATCGAGGGTGAGAAATGGTCTGCAACAAAGTGGATTCACGTCGCCGACTTTGAGAAACCGATACATCAAGTTGTAGATGACGGAGAGTGTGCGGATGAGAATGAGAATTGTGCTGCGTGGTCTAAAGTCGGCGAATGTGAGAAGAATCCAACTTATATGGTTGGTTATGAAGGAGTTAAAGGAAAATGTAGGAAGAGTTGCAATGTTTGCTCTTCTTAGGATCATCATGGTTTCTGTTATAAACTAGAAATTGTAATGAAAGAAAGAGAAATTAAAAGAATAGAAAGTGTAATATTGAAAACTTCATAGAAATTAAGAAAAGAATTCTCCTCAATGGTTTTTTCCTTACAACTGCCATCGTAAAATAAAATCGAATCGAATTGGTGTGATCAGATGCCATGATTCAACTATTTTAAATGTTTTAAAATCGAACTGGTGTGATATGATACCATGTGTTAACTATTTTTAAAATCGTTTTGGTGTGATATGATGACATGTTTCAATTATTTTAAACGTCTTAATATCGAAATGGTGTGATATGATATCATGTGTCAACTATTTTTAAAATCGAACTGGTGTGAAATGATGTCATGTTTCAATTATTTTAAACGTCTTAATATCGCATTGGTGTGATATGATACCATGTGTCAACTATTTTTAATATCGAATTGGTGTGATCTGATGTCATGTTTCAATTGTTTTAAACGTCTTAATATCGAACTGGTGTGATCTGATGTCATGTTTCAACTATTTTAAATGTCTTGAAATCGAACTGGTATGATATGAGGTCATATTTCAATCAAATTGGTTGGTGTGATCTGAGGCTATGTTTCATCTGTCATCTCGTCTTAAATTGCTTGAATGGAATAGAATCACGATCGAATTGCTCGTAATCGAAAGAAGAAATGGAACTACAATTGAATTAATCGCTCGTAACCGAACATTAACGGTGTTTGTGCGCATGACTTTTCCACTAAAGAGAGGCATCATTGCATGTTAACAAAGCAACATAATTGTGAGAAAAAAAAATTGATTGCACACTCATTCAATAATATCACCATAATTAGTTAAACATATTCAGTTTTAACAAAACTGATCATTCAAAATGCACCTGAAATATAAATTGTTCTTAAGACCCAAACCATATGAAAGAGAGAGAGAGAGAGAGAATATGAATGAAAGGCACTAGCATTATGAGTCTGATGTCATGTCATACAATTGGTTTTGCCTCTTAATTTTGTTATCAATAAAGATGAATATAATCATGCAATTGTTGTTATATGAACCCAAAATTTGCATGCTTTTCTTGCCTCTTCATATCTTAAACACTACTCTCATTTTCACCACTTTAAAAGTTAATTACTCTTCAATGCACATTTCACCACCATTACATTATTCATCTTTGATTTTTTGACTCTAAATTTTTTCTTGTTTTGCAAAATGGGAAGGCCTCCTTGTTGTGACAAAACCAATGTGAAAAGAGGTTTATGGACTCCTGAGGAAGATGCTAAAATTCTTGCTTATGTTGCTAATCACGGAATCGGAAATTGGACATTGGTTCCAAAGATAGCCGGTTTTTTTCTTCCTCGTTTCTTCGAATCAGTAACATAGTTTTAAATTGCGGTTGCATCTGAAAATATTTTATAATTGTCGTTTTAAAGATCTCAAAATTCATAATTGCGGATGTACACTGAAATTTAAAACTATGTTTAGAAATAGTATGAACTCGTAATCAAGACGAGTAATATTTTATTATATAATTTAATTTTTTAATTATCTTTTTCGAATTTGTTTTCAGGTTTGAATCGATGCGGTAAGAGTTGTAGACTAAGATGGACTAATTATCTAAGACCTGATTTGAAGCATGATGGTTTTACACCTCAAGAAGAAGAATTGATTATTACTCTTCATGCAGCTATAGGAAGCAGGTATGTTCAATTGTTCATGTTCTTATTCTACTTGTAATGTATGAAATTAAAATGAAAAAAAATGCATAATTCAGATTATTAAATTGTTCAATTGTGACATTTACATTGAAAAAATGCAAAATTCACATTACCAAATTGGCTTTATAGTAAGATCTATGTGTTTTAATATAACATATTAACTGTATAAGAATCTCACATCATATTTGTAGGTTTAACAACATTTTTCAAGTGCATGTTTTCTTAATTTCGAAATGAGATTTAATATTCGATCTCAATTATAAGTAAAATTAAATTGTTAGACGTAATTGCTTTATTAATCGGTCATTAAATATGTGTTTGGATGTCCATTAACTTGACCAAAATCAGGTTGAAAAACTATTTCAATTCAAAAGCTTTAAATAGTTATTTTATTATTTTCACGTTTTTTTTTTATATTAGGATGTGGTTTTTTCAACGTGATTTGATTTTCTAATGCGAAAATAAATATATATTAATTTATTTTTATTTAAAAAATAAAAATAGTACTTTTTAAATGAAAACTTATTTTGTTAGAGTATTTTGAGAATAATAATATTTAAAAGAAAGTTAAATATGTTTGTTGATTCTTAAATATCCTAAAATTCAATTTTAATCTTTCAAGGATTTTGCTTTCAACAATGATTTTCTAATTTTTTTCATCTTTAGTTGTAGTCGAGTGGTAAATTTTTGCATATTTTTCTATTTAAAGAACAGCGTGTAAAGGTTTATACCGAGACTAAAATTTGTGATAAAAAATTAAAAAGAACTATTATTATCGGCAAAAATTTTGAGAAATTAAAATCGAATTTTGAGATATTTACGAAAACAACAAATAATTAACCATTTAATGAAAAGGTGAAATTAGTTAATTTTTTTAATTAATGTAGATGGTCATTAATTGCAAAAAGACTACCTGGAAGAACAGACAATGATGTGAAGAATTATTGGAACACAAAACTAAGAAAGAAGCTTATGAAAATGGGAATTGATCCAGTGACTCATAAGCCAGTTTCACAAGTTCTTTCTGATTTAGGAAGCATTAGTAGCCTTACCACAATAACCACTCAAAACCAAATGAATTTTGTCAATAACAACTCAATTTTGGAGCATCCAAAAGAGGAGCAAGTTCAATATCACCACCAATTCACAAACCAAGAGAGTTTCCAGCAACAATATGTTTTGAATGAAGTTGCATCTTCAACTTCATCATCATGTTCCTCTAATTTAACAAGGCTAAACTCGCCAATTTCGTACTCGTGCAAAACTTCACAAGCTCAAGTTAATCCTAACTTTGATTGGAGTGAGTTTCTTCACAATGACGAGCCTTTTATATGGTCGGAGATTCAACAGATTCAACAATGTGATATACAAAGGGTGATGTCGTCGTTGAGCCTCGGTTTATTGCCAAATGAAGGTGAAGTTTCTAATATTAATAATAATTATAATAGGAATGGAAATGATAAACAAGGTGGTTCAAGTGAAGGTTTTGATGCTGTTGCTTGTGTTGCAAGTAAGCAATATGAAATGAATAAGCAAAGTGAAGGAAATTCATTTTCAGGAAATGAATTTGTGGATGGTATTTTGGATAAGGATAGTGAGATAAGGGCAACATTTCCAGAGTTTTTAGATGCTTCTTTTGATTATTGATTAAGTGCTTTTATTAGATTATTGGACTCAATTATATGTTTATTGCTTTTGATTTTTGTGACATGAAGGATGTTTTTAGATAGTGAATAATGGTTTGTAGTTATAATATTTTTTATTCAGATTGAGAAATTGATCTTTGTTTAATCTCTAACTCAAATGTTTTTGTTTATGATTTTATTTAAAGGAAAAAAACACACCTCTTATTATTTTTATGATTTTATTAGTTTTCTAACATAACCAAACATAGAGTTGAAAAAATGTGTTTTGATTGTTCTATAAGGAGAACTTGAAAACAAAAGAGCCATAGAGTTGCTATCTTTCCTCCTCTCTTTCATTTTAATCAAATCTAATCTGCTTCCCATCATTAAAAATATATTATGCAATATAACTAACTAAGAGTAATAAAAAAAAGTTATGGAGACTAATTAAATATAATTTTACGAGACTAATAGCAACATTGAGTTCATGATCAAAAGTTTTAAGAGACTTTGATACCATGTCTTGGTAAAATTTTTTTAGATATTTATGTATGCGTCTTCTCTCTTATATATCATTAATTTAATTATGTAGCAGTGAAAATTGGAGATCAAACTATTTAATTAACTTGACTCGCAAAAGGAAGAGTCGTCACCGCGCTTTATTATTTCCAAGAGAAAAGAGAAAATGCGAAATAAAACTCATAAATATGCAAAGTACAATACTAAAAGTAAAGAAGAATACAATGCATTTGAAAAGATCGAAGGTTCGGGGGTTGGTTATACAAAAGGAATGTACTATCATCCTATGTATCTATAGTATCCTATAAGAACCTTTTGAAATATCTGTTTTTTGGTTAAAATTGATTTGCTTGTTAAATGAGTGTGGGGATGAGATCTTGAAGATGCGACGACCTAATGTCGAAGTTTTAGCTTAGATGAGGGTAAGTTTAAAATTAAGTTTTTTTAAGAGATTTAACTTAAAACTAAAAAAATGTATGAAGGGGATTTTGCACAATCATATTAGATATATTCGATGACATGAAGTCAATAAATTTGATTCTTTTCCTTGGAATAGACAAAGAAAATATAAAGACTAAATGATAAATAAAAGAAAATTAACTAGAATAGTAATTAAATAATTAAATAATTAACACATAAATTAATTAAATTAAATAATTTTTTTTATTAAAAACTAACTGATCAACATCAGTTATAGTAAATGTAAATCATTTAACAAAATTAATTGACAATTAACAAAATTAAAATATAGTAAAACAAATCAAATGAAATTATAAAAGAAAAGAGATTAAAGTTAGCAAAATAGGGGGTAAGCTGACGTAAATTCGGAATTGGGGCTCAAGGGAATTGTAGGCAAGACCCAAATGCTATAAAAAATGCAGATTATGTGATAAAAAAGGTGTTGGACTTAAGTTGTAATTGGGGTGGATGGGCTTGGAAACAAAGCCTAGAATATTATATATAAAAAAATAGATTGTATAAAAAAATTTGATGTTGGGCCGTACCGGGTTGACCTAGATCTGAACCCAGCTCTTACTACTAACAAGGCTACAGGTTTTTTGAAACCCTAAAAGATGAATCTTAGCCCCCTCCGCTTTGAATCAAACAACAAGCCTTCTTAAAAACGCTC